AAAGAGCGTTGTTTTAAACCCAAGATCGAAGTTCTCCTATTCGGCACGACTATATACATTATATATTTATTAATATTTTATATATTTTTTATATTTATATATATATTTATTTATATATATATTATTTTAATAATATGTGTGTGTGTGTTGTGTGTGTGTGTGTGTGTGTGTGTGGAAAAATCTGGTCAATTAGCAAGAATTTTTTAAATTAATTCCTTCCAAAAAAATTTTCTCTTATAATTTAAAGAATTTTTTTCATTTATGCTATAAAAAAATTAATGATTTTGTATCAAAAGGATTAGAAAATTTACTTAAATTATATAACAAGCGCAATTTAACTCAGCCTACCCAAACTAAAATTTTTATATAACTTTACAATAATTTAAAAAAAATAAACAAAATGAAATATTTTTTTTGTTGATTCAGATGATTTTTGCGAAATTATTGCCAAAAAAATTTTCATTCCCCTGTTCGGCAAAAAAAAGTGCGTTGCTAGTTAAGCCAAAATCTCATTTTTACTTATTTGGGCAGACACAGACCCTATATTATATGTATATATATATATATATTATATATTTATATATTATATATATTATTTTATATTTAAAATTTTATATAATATATATTTTTATTTTATATAATATATATTATATATATATATATATATATGCAATATACAATTTTTTTTATTTATTTTTTTGTATATCTGAAATAATTTTTTTTTTTTTAGGGGGTAGTAAAAGAGAGTTATTAAATACTGTTTCAAATTTTTTAATTTCATGGATAAGCGAAAAATGTGGAGTAATACAGCGTTGAGATATAGGAGGCAATCGATTCGAGCCAAAAAAAGCGGGGCAGCTCCATTTCCGGGATTCAAGAGTTTCACCAGCACAAGGTGGGATGAATTGGTCAACAAAAGATCAAAACTCCCCGGTGTTGTAACCAGGGCTCCTGTGGAAGTCAATCTGTAAAAGTTTTTTGAGAACGCAGCAGATATGTTGATGAAGTGCCCGGAGAAGTTTATGATGTGGGTATAAGGAAACCCCTAGAGGGAATTTTTTCAACCCGTTCCTCTGCTTTCTACATTTCTGCGTACCATTTAAGTTTTATATATATTTATATATATATTATTATATTTATATATATATATATATTTATAATTATATTATTATATTATATGTCGTGCCGAATATGTAAAATGGTAATTAGCAAGAAATCATTTAAAAAAAAGTCCTTTTAACATTTTTCTTATACGTTTAAAGTTTTATTTTTTTTATTTGTTAATGTAAAAAAATTTTTAAATTTTTCACCAAAAGAATTTAGAAAACAACCAACCTTTTTAGCAAAAAGCAAATTTTTTTTAGCCTAACCCAATAAAAAAATTTTAGAACGTTTTACAGAATTTTAAAACAAATAAACATAGTGAAATATATTTTTTTTTTTTGGTTTGAATGATTTTTTGGCGAAATTATTGCATACACAAATTTTCCTTATCCTATATGGCAAGATGAGCTTGCTATTTAAACCCGTTCGCAAGTTCTGCTATTTGGCACGACTATATTATATATATATTATATATATATTATTATTTGTCGTGCCGAAATGTAAAATGGTCAGTTAGAAGAACTCATTTTAAAAATTTAAATCTTTCTAAAATTTTTCTCTTGTAGTTTAAAATATATTTTTTTTATTTAAGTTTAAAGTAAAATTTTTTAATTTTTAAACCAAAGAAACTTAGAAAATTATCTAACCTTTTTATAAAAGAGAAAAATTTTTTTTGCCCAACCCTACTAAATATATTTTAAAATTTTTCAGTAAATTTTAATATAAACAAACACAGTGAATAGTTTTTTCGTTAGGTTCAAAATGTTTTTTGGGGAAATTATTGCATACAAAAATTTTCACTTGTCCCTTTTGGGAAGATGAAGTTGTATTTAGCCAGTCGCAAATTTGCTATTCGGCAGCGTTTAAAAATTTTATATTATATTATTTTTATATTTTTTTTTATATAATTTTTATATTAATATGTATATATATATATATTATATATATATATTATATATATATATATATATTATATTATATAGTATTTATATATATATATAATATATGTGTGCCGAATAGGGAGGGGCTTGCGATCTTGGTTAAATAGCAAAGTTATTTGCCTATGGACAAGTGAAAAATTTTTGTATGCAATAATTTCGCCAAAAATTCTTACCCCAACAAAAAAAATAATTTTTACTGTGTTTGTTGTATTAAAAATTTTAAGCAAAACTAAAAATATATTTAGTTTGGGTTGGCTAAAAAAAATTGTTCTTGTTTTAATAAGGTTAGGTAGTTTTTAAGATTTACGAAGCAAAAATTAAAATTTTTTTTTCTTAACTTTTAATGAAAAAAAATTTTTCTTTAAAATTTAAGAAAAATTTTTTTGCAAGGACTTTTTTAAACGAGTTCTTGCTAAAGGCCAGTTTTTCATATTCGGACGACATAATATATATATTAATATATTATTATTATTTTAAAATTTATATATTTACACATTATAATAACCTTTGGTAAAAAAATGAAAAGATTGGGTCGTAGGGGAAGTATTCAAACGGCTTCGGAAGAAACCAAATATTCTTCTTTAAACCCTTTTTAAACCACTTCTCTGAGGCTATGGGTCCCACAATTTACACCGAGGTGGACCCCATCCTATTTATATATATATATATATATTATATATATATATATATATATATATTATATATATATTATATATATAATTTATATATATATATATATTATATATATATTTTTATATATTATATATTGTAAACACGAACGAGTGGTACTGAATCAATAACAATGCGACTAGCCGAGGATTCGAACCCATTTTGTTTTGGCCCGCCTGATGGTGAGCGAAAATATCAGATGACGCTATAACCCACAGGACCACGCAATCCTGGTAGGATATGTAAATTTATGGTCTGCTTTCATTTCAGGGGGGCGAAATATACAGGCCAGTTAATTTTCTGAGTTTGTCTCCATATGGTTTATTATTGAGCAATGACTATCCAATCGTGACTTGAAGCAAAAAAAAAAAAAATTTTATCGTATTTTCTCCAAGTTGACTAAGTTTAGCCACATAACTATTTAACTGGCTCACTAATTAGTCCAATGAATAAGTAACTGCAATTAACAATTTTGTTTGTCGAGCAGCTGGACAATTAACAGCCCAACGGACACGCAGCAAATAATATTCTCTTTGAGCAGATTACGGCCTTGATTAGGGCGTGGTGACGCTAGGAAGGCAGTGACAACACTACAGTGGTGGCGGCCGCATTTTGTCTCCTGTTATGTTATGGAAAATATTGTTGGGAAGTGCAGAGAGTGTCTTTTGTTTTATTTGGAGATGGATATTCATGTTTACCGAGATGAATGCTGGTGTTTACAGATTTGGATGCTGTTGTTTTCACTGCTGGATGCTTTTGTTTTCACTGCTGGATGCTGAGATTTTCACTGCTGGATGCTGTTGCTTTTATTGCTGGATGCTGAAGTGTCCTTATGATCTCCTAATAAAACTGTGCTTAGCACCTAACTCCTGTTCTTCACTGCCGCCAACACCAATACCAGCACCGCCACCTCCACAGTAACTACCACAACAACCACCATCGCTACTACCGCAGCCATCACCAGCGCCACCACCACCGTAACTACCACAACAACCACTATCGCTACTACCGCAGCCACCACCACCATCAATGTTTAAGCTCGAGAAGTAAATATGATGTACAAACAAAAGACAGAAGTAGTGGTGGCTGCCTTCATACATGGATTCAAGAGTACATATATCTGCGTGTTAAGGAAAGCGTACAACAGTCGTTTGAAGACTGACCGAAGAGTATACAAAAGCGCGTGCACAACACCCCGGCACCCCACACACACCACACACACACACACAACACACACACACACACACACACACACCCCACACACACACACACACACACACACACACACACACACACACTTACATACACACACAGGAGCTATGACTCGACCCATGCAACCACAACTAGGTGAGTACAGACTTACCAAATGCACACAAACTCAGCTCACCATTGCACGGTCATAAATTCACATCAGACCTGAACGTGTGTCCAGCATGACAGCAAATATTCCTGCTTTCGTCTGAGCACAGTTACCCAGGGAATTTCAAGGCAGGAATCTCGTAAACGCCGATAAAACATAGTGATATTCTGTCTTTGTTGGGAAAAGGGCTAGTCGTTGGTGCTCTGGGAGAATTGGTGCAGTAATGGGTGAGAGATGAAGCAAGGAATCTACTGATGGGTGGTGTGCCAATCTCCCCTCAAACTTAAGTGTGTGTAGTCACCTAGTTGTGGTTACAGGGGTCAAGTCATAGCTCCTGGCCCCACCTCTTCACTGGTCGCTACTGTGTGTGTGTGTGCGTGTGTGTGTGTTTGAGTAATGTCACATTTGTAAAGTCCTCAGAAACTGCATAGAGAAGTTACAAAGATTAATACTCTACACTAACAAGTAACTCTCTCTTCATAGAGAGGAATAATTCAAAGTTAGGTATGGTTCAAGTCAAGCAGTGCTGGTTCTGCCACCAACAACAGATACCAAGAGTTCTGGTTCTATCGCTAACAAGAGCTGCCAACAGTGTTGGTGCTGTCACCAACAACAGCTGCTAAGGATGTTGGTTCTGTCGCTAACAACATCTGCCAACGGTGATGGTGCTGTCGCCAACAACAGCTGCAAACAGTGCTGGTGCGGTCGCCAACAACAGCTGCCAACAGTGCTCTTCGTGTCCTTATCAGGTTCTACCAACAGTGTTAATGTAGTTGCCAACAGTGAAGCTGGTGTTACGAGCAACAGTCGCTGGCGTTAACAGGAGACCTGCTCATAGCTACAGGTATCGAGCACCTTTAAACGGGGCTGTTATTCCCACTCGCGAAGCTAACATGCCGTTACCAAAGAAAAAACAAAAGCGCTCCTGATGTAGCTATGTGTCGAACAAAATCTGTGATTGTTTCTGAGGAGGCTGTGAGTGTGTAAGGTGACGACAGGGTATTCTCCTGAGGTGGGGGCTGGGCTGGAGGCGTGGGCTTGAGGGGTCTGGTTCAGGGGGAGAGGCTCGGCAGGTGTGAGCTCGGGTCCGGCTCAGTGCTGGCTGTGTCGCCCCGTTGCTTACATCACCGTTGTCGCTCCACTTCTTCATATCCTCGGCGCGGTGCTCTTGAGTATGACCACACTCCAGCCCGGCCCAGAAGAGGTCAGATACCGAGGTGCCCCCACGCCGGGTTGTGGTGGGCAAGTTCACGTCCGGTGACCTAGGGTGCCCTAAGTCATGTGAGGTCATCCAAGCTTCATTCCCTTTCGAAACTGTGGACAAAACTCTTTACCCCCCCCCCACTCAAAAAAAAAAAAGAAAGTTGATTTCCAACAGGATTTTTTTTTCTTGTGGATATACTTTTTTCTCACGCGGTAACACGGCTGTGGTGATGAGGTGCGTGGTGTTTGCTTGACCTGCCTGGGGACGGGCGGGCAGGTATTGAAGGGCACGGGATGAGGTATCTTCCTGGACTCGCTCTCGGGAGGCTTTCTGGCGGCCTTGGGTTGCCCCTCCCGGGTCGGCTGCTCAAAATGCCCGAATATCCACTACTGTAGAAGCCTGAGGGGACCACTTGTGATGTGTACCCCTCCGTTACAGTTTGGAAAATACTCGCAGTCTCTGGGAATGAACCCCAGGCTGTAATTTGCATACTCGCAAGTTTATAATATCAGTTACTACTAGCTATGGTTGGTGAAGCGATCGGCCGAGTAATGTGGTGGTGGTGGTGGTGGTGGAGGTGGTGGTGCTTGGCGCAGATCTTGGCTACCACTTCCCTGGGACGATGTGAAGCCTTCAGTAGCACCTACTCCGTTTCAGGCTTCAGCAAGAATGTCACCAATCTTCTGGATAGTCTCCTGGCTGACTACGACCGCATGATCAGACCAGGACACGGAGGTGAGTACAAGCCTGGAGTACCACCAGAAATTCTGTGCTTACTGTGGGAGTAAATTAAAGGCTAATTTGTACTCAAGAAGTCTCTTTGGTATTCTATATATTGATGCAAAACGACCACGGGGGAGCTATCATTCAACTTCCCCCGTGGTTGTGTTGCATGTTGCACCTCTTGTTCTCGCTTATTGCACGTATGTTCATATTTTGATTTTGTGGCATGACTTATACCTAGCTTTTCTAAGACACCATTCACTGGGGTTTGATTCCTCATGCCGGAGAAGAGTTCATTACAGTTTCTTAGTTGTTCTCACCTTGATGTGTACACCTAGTTGTACTCACTTACTTGTACCCACTTGTACTCACCTAGTTATACCTCACCTAGTTGTACTCATCTAGCTGTACTCACCTAGTTGTACTCAGTTGCTCTTGAGAAAATAAAGATTTTGGTGAAGATTATCGTATATAATACTCAGAGAAAGCGTTAAACCCGTAGAAGTTAGACAATGCCTTGGGGAACGAGCATGTAATCAGGTATTGATCCGTGGAAGAGGGAGAGTAGCGCCAGTTCCACGGATCAAGAGCTCTTCTCCAGCATGTAGGCACCCCTACACCTAGTTAATAAATATAAATAATAAAATTATTTTTTTTTATCATGGAAAAAAACTGTCTTATTTAAGGCGTACATAGAGGCTAAATGTCTCTCTCCTCGGATCAAACCTAATTACCTCCCCATTTCCCCAGAAGCAGTTTGACCTTTACAGGTTTAGCGCTTCCCCTTGAATATAACTCTAACTCTTCTTTCAAGGGGAGGTACCTTGATGCTGGCGAAGGACTCTTGATTCGAGAAATTGGAGCTACCCCTCCCTCTCCCCCTCCCCCCACCCCCATACCCCTTAGGCACTGTGCACCCTTCACGGGTTCAGTGCTTTCACAAGGTTACTACTACTACTACTACTACTGTTACTACTACTACTGTTACTATTACCACTATTACTACTACTACTGCTATTACTATTACTACTACTATGATTACTACTACTACTACTATTGCTACTACTACTACTATTACTACTACCACTTTTACTATTACTACTGTTATACTACTATTAATACTACTACTGTTGTTACTACTACTATTGTTACTATTACCACTATTACTACTACTACTGCTATTACTATTACTACTACTATGATTACTACTACTACTATTGCTACTACTACTACTACTACTACTATTACTACTACCACTTTTACTATTACTACTATTAATACTACTACTATTACTACTACTAATAATAATAATATTAATACTTATGAAAAAGATTAGTAAAGTCATGTATAGGTTAGCGCACCTTGCAGTGTTCATCGTAGTTTTATAACTCACAAGACTGAATTTCTGCAAAGCGCTAAACCCGTGTGAGGGTAAGATAAACATTGTACACCGCTGAATGGAAAGGTACGGTGATACCGACAGCATGTAGACAGAAGTATATATGTACGATGAAGCAACGTTTTGCCCAAAGTTGTTTCTTCATTCCTAGTGTAGAGACTACTGTGACCAGGACCGAAGTGGCTACATGTGGCGAAACGTTGGGACTGTGTGGACTGTATATATTTACGTCCTGTCCGTATCACTGCCTTACCCGGACACTGACGTTAGATGACGCCAGCCATCACGTCTGCACCGGGAAGCACTCCACTGCTGACAGATCTTTCTGAAATCCCTCCCATCACATCTCAGCTGTACTACTACTACTACTACTACTACTACTACTGCTACTACTACTACTACTACTACTACTACTACTACTACTACTACTACTACTACTATTACCTCTACCTTCTCTCAGTTTCCCACCCGACTTTGTCACTATAAATACTAGCTTCTTAGTTTTCTCTCCACTAATACTAAAGAAACTACTTGGGGCGAAACGTTTTCTCAATAAATGTCTTAAACTGTCCCTCTATGTCTTTATATTCATTCTACACCAGAAATGATTCTATGTATATTGTATTTGTTAAGATGAATAATGTATTACAGCATATTTCAAAGATACATACATAGTTATGTATATATCCGAGAGGTATGTATATCTCAGTTTATATACACCAAGTGATGTGTATCTGTATATACGCCATTGTACATTAATTCCTTATTTAAAGAAGAGGGTATTTACCGGCGGTGCTCGTGTATCGTGGTCTTAATGACTCTTGTTCAACTGACGGCTCTACACCTAACGAACCCTTACATCCACATATATGTTTGGTGACGAGCGGAAAACAGGTACTTGGGGCACAGATGGAAGCTAAAAACAGAGATGAGAGTCGCAGAGATGTCAGGATGTATTTCTTCAGTCTCAAGATGGTTGGGAAGTGGAATGACCTAGATGAAGACTTAGTGGAGGCAGACTTCATACAAAGTGTTATGGGAAGGTACGATAAGAAAGAGTGAATCTGGTCAGCGGCAAGTTGAGAGGCAGGGCCAGGAGCTAAAACTCGACCCTTGCAACAACATATAGATGAGTACACACACACACACACACACACACACACACACACACACACACACACACACACACACACACACACACACACACACACACACACACACGTACATACACCCCAGAAACACCTGCAGAAGGACTCCAGCCACGACACCCCCAAGGCAACTGAACATTCCAAACCAACCATCACACACCGATCCCTCTGTTTCCACCCCCCGCACCACAGTTACAGTATTAGAACAGAAGTTGAAGGTTTGGTACACAAATGCAGATGGATTAACGAATAAACATGAGGAATGGCAAGAAAGAATCAATGAGAAGTCCCCAGACATCATAGCAGTTACAGAAACAAAACTCATGGAGACAATAACAGATGCAATCTTCCCACCAGGATACCAGATCATGAGGAAAGATAGAAGGGGTAGGGGGGGAGGTGGGGTTGCTCTGCTCGTAAAAAACAGATGGAAATTCGAGAAAATGGAAGGAATAGATGAGACAGGAGAAAGAGACTACATAGCAGGTACACTTCAGTCTGGGGAACACAAAGTGGTCATTGCAGTGATGTATAATCCACCACAGAACTGCAGGAGGCCAAGAGAGGAATATGAAGAGAGCAACAGAGCAATGGTGGACACACTTGCTGAGGTGGCAAGAAGAGCTCACTCCAGCAGAGCAAAGTTGCTGGTTATGGGGGATTTCAACCACAGGGAGATTGACTGGGAAAACCTGGAGCCACATGGGGGTCCCGAAACATGGAGAGCCAGGATGTTGGACGTGGTGCTGGAAAACCTCATGCACCAACATGTTAAGGACACTACCAGAGTGAGAGGGGAGGATGAACCAGCAAGATTGGACCTTGTGTTCACCCTGGCAGCTCAGACATTGAGGACATCAAGTATGAGAGTCCCCTAGGAGCTAGCGACCACGTGGTTCTGTGCTTTGAATACATAGTAGAGCTGCAAGTGGAGAGAATAACAGGAGTAGAATGGGAAAAGCCTGACTATAAAAGAGGGGACTACATAGGGTTGAAGAACTTCCTGCGGGAGGTCCAGTGGGACAGAGAACTGGCAGGAAAGCCAGTAAATGAAATGATGGAATATGTAGCAACAAATGCAAGGAGGCAGTGGAAAGGTTCATTCCCAAGGGCAACAGTAACAACGGGGAAAACCAGAACAAGCCCCTGGTTTACCCGACGGTGTAAGGAGGCAAAAACAAAGTGCAATAGAGAATGGAAAAAGTACAGAAGGCAGAGAACACACGAAAATAGGGAGATCAGTCGCAGAGCCAGGAACGAGTACGCACAGGTAAGGAGGGAGGCCCAGCGACAGTATGAAAATGACATAGCATCGAGAATCAAGACTGACCCGAAACTGTTGTATAGCCACATCAGGAGGAAGACAACAGTCAAAGACCAGGTGATCAGATTAAGGACAGAAGGTGGAGAACTCACAAGAAATGATCAGGAGGTATGTGAGGAGCTGAACAGGAGATTTAAGGAAGTTTTTACAGTAGAGACAGGAAGGGCTGTGGGAAGACAGCACAGAAGGGAACATCAAGAGGGAATATACCAACAAGTGTTGGATGACATACGAACAACTGAGGAGGAGGTGAAGAAGCTCTTAAGTGACCTTGACACCTCAAAGGCGATGGGACCGGACAACATCTCCCCATGGGTCCTTAGAGAAGGAGCAAAGATGCTGTGTGTGCCTCTAACCACAATCTTCAACACATCCCTTGAAACTGGGCAACTACCTGAGAAATGGAAGACAGCTAATGTAGTCCCCATATTTAAGAAAGGAAACAGAAACGAGGCACTAAACTACAGACCTGTGTCTCTGACATGCATTGTGTGCAAAGTCATGGAGAAGATTATCAGGAGGAGAGTGGTCGAACACCTGGAAAGGAACAAGATTATAAATGAAAACCAGCATGGGTTCATGGAAGGCAAATCTTGTATCACAAACCTCCTGGAGTTTTATGACAAGGTAACAGAAGTAAGACACGAGAGAGAGGGTTGGGTAGATTGCGTTTTCCTAGACTGCAGGAAGGCCTTTGACACAGTTCCCCACAAGAGATTAGTGGAGAAGCTGGAGGATCAGGCACACGTAAAAGGAAGGGCACTGCAATGGATAAGGGAATACCTGACAGGGAGGCAGCAACGAGTCATGGTACGTGAAGAGGTATCACAGTGGGCGCCTGTTACGAGCGGGGTCCCACAGGGGTCAGTTCTAGGACCAGTGCTATTTTTGATATATGTGAACGACATGATGGAAGGAATAGACTCTGAAGTGTCCCTGTTCGCAGATGACGTGAAGTTGATGAGAAGAATTAAATCGGACGAGGATGAGGCAGGACTGCAAAGAGACCTGGAGAGGCTGGACATGTGGTCCAGTAACTGGCTCCTCGAATTCAATCCAGCCAAATGCAAAGTCATGAAGATTGGGGAGGGGCAAAGAAGACCGCAGACAGAATATAGGCTAGGTGGACAAAGACTACAGA